TAGCTAAATAATATATACATAGTACTATAGTAGGAATAACACATATAATATATTAATATATTATTAATAATGTATAAAATGTATATTGTACATACTTATATAAGTACTTGTAGGTACTATTGATCGTAAGTAACCTGATTAACATTTAATATATTATTTTAAATTAAAAATATTAACATTTCTGTTATATAATTATAGGAGTTGGAATGATGTGTTGTTTACAGAAACAAATGAAATAATTCATGTTCCCATTACATGGCTAATAAATCCAACATGTTGTTGGTTTCCATACATCGCATGTGACAATCAGGAAAAATCTTTTAGCTCATCTCAAATAATGTATATGATCAACAAATGTGTGCCACCTAATGAGAAAGATGGAAGACATTATGAAATTTCAGTACTAGCAGGACCATTTGGTAAACATAGAGGATAAAATGGTTAATGTATTCATTAACAATTATTTCTAATACCTTTATTATATACAAAATTAGTAAAGCAAAAAAAGTATCTAAAGCATGGTCTGAAAAAGAAGAGTCATCTGATGATTCAGATAACAGTGCATCATTGCCAAAATCTCCAAAACAGCCTTCTCCGAAAAAGAGAAAATTAGTTACAAAAAACTATAACTTGACTAAAAATCTTGCTAAAAATGTTTTGTTACCAATACCACCTAATTCAGCAATTAAGATGAAATGTGAGTACAGTAACTAATATTATAACATATATGTATATATATATATATATATATATATTAATATTATTTTACATTAAATAGTTGTTGGTCATCATCATACTGACGGCCAAAAATATACTTCAAATAATTTTCAGAAATTACAATATGACGAAGAGAATAAAATAGCAGGTAAATTTTCGTTATCAATATCATATGCATTTCTTGTTTAAATTTTATGTTTTTGTTAGAAGTGATTCCAGTAAGCGCAAAAAAATCACTGTTTAAATAACCTGCAGCTACTAAATTTGACCAAGACTTCTTAGATCTTCAAGAAACCGAGAATATGTCCTGTAGTACTTATAATGAAGATAAAAATACAGGTTAATATTTTTATTATAAGCAATATACATTTCTTGTTTAAATATTGTTTATATTTTAGAAGTGACACCAGTAAACACAAAAAAATCACTGTTTAAATCACCTGCTGCTACTAAATTTGACCTAAATTTAAGTCTTCAAGAAACGGAAAGTATATCATGTAATACTCTTAAAGATAAAAATACAGGTTATTATTTGTAATTTTAGCTAGTGTATTATGCAATATTTGCATGTTATAATTATTGTTTATTTTTATTACTTATAATTAAAATCATCTGCAGATTATGATGTATTAAATCTTGACAAAACTAATCATGCAGCATCATACATTACAACCTAAGATGAGTTGATAGCAGGTAAAATATAATTATTATATATATTTATTCATTAAATCTTTTAAACATATATTATATTTAGCATTCTATAGTCATAATAAAAAAGGCCTTTACTCAAATTATAATAACAATCATATAACCATTTAACAGATTTTTTAATTGGTGCTGATAGCAATGATTTTATTATAAACAATAGTGCATTGGATACTAATATTAATTCTCAAAACAATATCGCTATGGATTTCCCTGAACTTCAGGATAATGGTAAATTAAAACATGATTTATAATATACCTACGCATGGTTACTTATTATTTTGTTTGGAAAACTATATGTTTGATATTTTTGTTTTAGAAAAATGTTTTAAGAGTATCTTGTTAGAACTTAGTTCTAAAATAACTAAGCTTGAAAAATCCAACAAATCAATACAAAAACAAATGTTGGTTCAGCTTACTATGCTAAATAATTCTAATACAAAAATATGCAAAGCAATTGAAAATTTAGATCAAAAATTATTAGTTATTATGAAGGCTGATTCGAGGATGAGAGCATTAGCTTTGCCAATTCCTGCTCTACCACCTGCCTTTATTAATATTTTACCAGCCAAAAATATGGATGAAGTTAATATTATCGAATCACTTTTATCCGGTGAACATGAAATAGAATATATTGAACAATTAGTGAGTATAAAACAGTAATTTTCATAAATTATAAGTATATTAAATGTAAACCATTCATTATTATAATTTGTAAGTACGTATGACATTACTTAATTTAAGTCTGCATACTAAATTATCTTAGATTGAAATCTAACAGTAACATTATTTTCATTATAAAATTATTTAACATATTTTCAAACACTATTAATGTACATTTTTATATTAGTCATGGTGCTAGATAAAAAAAGAAAAGTTTTAACTATTACATTTTCACTAGTTTTGGTTGATATTAAAATTAAATAATAATGTTAAATACTTTGTATAATTCCATTTGGGGATGGTAAAATTAATTTTAAATCATGTTACTTTCATTGAAATTCAAATTTTACAGATCAGAGTTATTGTTTTTATTATTATTTTAAAACTAATTAACACTATTTGATTTACCTACATAATAATTATATTAATATATATTATAGTTAATTTAAATTACTATTTACAGAAAAATGATCTTCTTATTAAAGTTGGGAGTATGTCTTCATTCAGAGCTGCAATAAGAGAAGCAATCAATTGTTGCTTCAACTACAATGTTCTAAGTAATTTTAGCTATAAAGGGAAGACCAAAAACAAATTTACTGATTTGAAATTGTTTATGGTTGTTTATGGTAAGTGTCAAATGTATCATTTGTTATAGAAATAGTTGTATAAATTATAAAATAATAATATATATTTATTGCTATTTTATTTTAGAAGCCTTGTCTGGGTTCAGAAAAACTCCATTTGATGAAAAACAATTTCACACTGTAGCCGACAATTATATAAGACACGCTCCAAAAACAATATGTATCGATAAAGTTGATGGCTAATATAATGCTTATAAAGTAATATTAATAGTATTTTGATTTTTATAATATTTTAAAGCTAAAGTTATTTTGTATTAAACTAAATTTTATTACTTTTGTTGTGTATAATTTTGTTATAAAGAAATTAATAATTACTTTTTTCATATTGGTTATGTGTATGCAATGCATTTTATTTTGTAAGATTTTCCTATAATAGGTGTCTAGGTATAAAAAAATTTCTGTTTGTATGTATTATGTTATTTATAATTATAAAAATATATTGTAAAATATTATGTACTATTAATTGCATAATAAATTTAATAAAGTAATTAGCCTTCTATAGAAATATTATTATTTTTATTTAAATACTTATTCATCATATAATATATTTATGGAATTTGTAAAATGAGAAAACAAAGTATTATTACCTAATACTAATAAATTATGAATAATATAATAATTCAGTTTGTAGTATGATTATTTCACAGTTATGTGCTCATGTGTAATATATTATAATATTAATAATATATATTGAAAGGTAATTTAAAATCATTAACACAGTCATAACACTGATTATTAACACGGTTATAACACAGTCAGTTTGCACGGTTATGGCACTGATGTCTTTAACCGTGATTACACCACCGTAATACACAGTGTTTAAACTGACCTTAACACAAAGAGATAATGGTGTAACCCATGTAAAAAATCGGTATTCAAAATGGACATAAACACAGTGCAGTGACGAATATTTGCACAGTGTTTTTAATCATAAACTCATACACTCTACACATTTACTGCGCGGAAATTGCTACTCGGGAATCATCACTATTTGGCGACACTCCTTCATTCTTTAGCTTTCGATTTAATGCATCAAACGCTGAATTCATTTTCAAGCAAAAATTCTCAGTTGCCGTAGAATCACTTAACTGAGGACTATAAGAGCGATAGAACTCAAGGCTCTTTGCCATTGAGTTAGGTACTAAGAATCTATAACATAAAATAATCATTATTAGTTAAAACAATAAATGTCTATAAAAATAAAATAATGAATAATAATGCTACCTGCACAGCAAGACGAACACTCATTTTTGCAGAACTGTTCAAAACTAAATGAGATGCAGATAATTTAGGACAAACAAGAAATTCAGTTTATCCAAATTGTAAACATTTACAAAATGATCCCATTTTACTGGTGGTTCATTTTCATGAATCTAAAAATTTGAATTCTGGTTACTTTTTAATATATTTTGTTCCCTTTATCTGACCTTGAACATTATTAAAAATGTTCATAGTGAATCTATAGTTTTTAATTTTAATTTTAAAAAAAACATGGATTTCAAAATTCATTTTGAAATATTCTCATCATTAAATTCTACTACTGGTCGGTTTACTATAATGTTTGAAATTAAAAATCTATTTAGATATTGGTATGAATAAATTAAATTAAATTTATAATAACCAACATAGACCAGCCATTGTCATTTTTAACTTTTAAGTATTGCAATATAATGTTATATAAACTAATTTTTTTTTTTAATAAGAACCATTTATTATATAAATTAACATATTTTAATATTTTATCAGTAATAAATATATGGGTTATCAACCTCCTGTAAGCAATAAAGCTTGTGTTGGAGGTTGAGAGTTATAATACTTATTTTTAGTGGAATTTGTTCTTAGATATTAAAATATATCAACAAAACAACACACCTTGAGCTCTTTATTATTATAGAGCCTATTTCTCATATTCTTGAATAAATGTGGCGTATCAGAGAACACAAATATTTTCCGTTATTCATCTGTTGGGTGCTCAAACCAATTTTTAACTTTTTTAATTTTTTCCACATATTCCCATTTCGCTCCAAAATTTTCGATTTGGGGCTGCCCCGTCACATACAATTCCATGGATGAACGCTCCTGCTTTTTTAAGTACTGTGATAGCTTTTATTACTAACTGAGTTAGTACTACACCTTTAGTCGGTCCTTTTGATGCAAAAACACCAACGGGTTGGGCATAATTATCTTCTAATGGTATGAACATAAATACTAATCAATGATTTGCTTTATCACTGAAAGTTTTTCCTTTCTCACCTTCTTCGCCAAAATCGACTAGACCTGTAAGGTATTCAATAATATGAGAAAATATGAGAAAATAATATGAGAAAATACCAATTTTATCTGTATTTCATTGTTTACCTGTATATGTAAGATTCGCCGAGTTAACTGCAATACTCTCGAGAGTGGACATTTCATCAAACACGAGCAAACCATGGCGTTTGAATTCTTCTTTTTGTGCCATATAAAGAGAAAACATCTGTAGAAATTTTGGATAAACCCACATTGTGTATCGATAGATGATAGGTACCTTAAACATGATTTTAATTTATAAAAATGTTTAAACAAGTAATATTATTGTATTACCTTCTTATGGTCCTTACACAAGGTAATGGCATAATGTCATTATTTCTAACAAAATTATAGCCACATGGTGAACGCATATGAAATAGTAAACATAAAAGGATCCAATCTTCGGAATATCTGCGACCTTTTAAATTGAGGACTTGTAATGCGGACAAAATTTCATGTAAGGCAACCCGTTGATTAGTAGGTATCTTATTAGTTGTTAGCCTTTCTTCAAGCCTCATTATGGTCAGTTTTGACATTTCACCTTGTATATTAAATAATTTATTTTTTAGCTTTTTATTGAGTATTACAGCTCGATATTTCCTTTGCAATGTTAATTTGTGATTTTTACGAAGTTGTTGTACTTTGGAACTAGATAAAATATGAATTCTCTTTGGAGTAGTATTATTTTATGTAAACAGTGCCTTTTGCGCATAATAGTCCGTATAGCTTTGTTACAATATTTACAGTCATTATTTTGGTTCAAGATGAGTGGACACATGATATGTCTAAGATAACCAGCCGGATCTGTAAATGTTGTTTTAGAATGTAGAAGTTGTTCTTTTAATTCTGTGGTTGGGAGCCAAAAGTCGATATGTGAAAAAAATTCAATTTTCAGGTTTTATGTGTTATCTGTAGTAAACGATGAATATTTTTTTGTGTCAAAATATAATATCTGTAGCTCTATTATCAAATGAGATATTCAGCAATAATTAAAATGATATGTTTCGTGGAAGAAAAAATAGTTTGTGTCTATCTATAATAATATGTTACTTATCATAATGGATAATAATTTTTTTTTTGTGGCAAAATATGATAAGTCTTTATTTGGGCACTTATCATGTTTGGAAAGATTTAATAAGATACCACTTATCATAGCTTGGCAAGAAAATACAATTCAAATTATGTTATCACATACATTACATAGAATAGTTGTTAAAATAAACTGTATTACCTACCGGTATTTTGAGACTTTACACAACAATCACAGATTATAATAACAAACTAATTTTATTCGCGCTCAATTTACGATTTCATTGTCATTGAATATTATGCATTATAATATGATAACTACATTAATATTTATGTCTTGCTGTATATTGTTTTTAAAATATACCTATACCTAAACGTTAAGTTGTCAAGAAAAATGTCAAGAAGCAAAAGAATAGTTGCATTAGCTTTGCCTAAAACAGCAAGCGAAGACGATGCAACATATAAAAGTATGTAATTTTTTAATTTAAACTATTTGGCAGAGTGTTAAGCTTATTTAATTTTAGGGATGAAGTTGTGTACAAAGAGCAGAGATATTGTTCCTAAAAATAACACGAATAATTATGGTAAATATTATAAAATATTCAATGTTCATAATAATATTGGTCATACATAATATGTATTATACCTAAATCTCGTATATTATTTGTAGTTTGAATCATTAATATTCGGTTTAATATAGGTATAACAATAGTATAAAAAATGTATTGTTTTTAAAAAATTAAATTTTTCGATTTTGTTTATAGATCTTAAGAAATTAATACTGATGTATTTACAAGTGATGATTTACCTTTACAAGCAGTGGCGCCGAAGTCCATGCCGTGGCCCGACCTCTTTTTTGAAAAATGTGGCCGGCCGGCCATATTTAATTTACATCATAACTTTATTATAAGCATGAGTAAATTTAAACCGTGATTATGAATAAATTTATATTAGGGTACCTTTATATTAAATAATTAAGATATTGAGGCCGGGAAGTTTTAAAATTGCGCGACCACATTTTAAAAACTTCGGCGCCACTGTTTACAAGGACCTTATCAAAATATTATGTAATGCTCTGATGAAAATAAAAATAATAATGTTGTTCACACATACAGTTGCGAAGATAACTAAGCACATCACTGCCCTCCCGTCAATCTCAACCTTATCGTGCTTATGTTATTATAATTAACTAATACGTCCTTTCTTAATTACTGTCATACCGTTCGGTAAGTTCCAACACCCCGTCGTGCGCACTTTAAACTCCGTACCCTTCGATATTAAATGATAAAACCGTGTACATACTTTTTTTTTTTTTTAATAAAATGTAAAATCGTCAGTGTGACATCAAACTAATCGAATTTTTTATTACCACAATAAAAACAAATCCAAACCACAACCTTAAACAAATGTAAATAAAGCATTCAAAGGTAATTATATTGTATTTTAATGATTACATAAAATAATTTTATTTTATATTGTTTATAATGTTGGGTAAACATTAAGACTATTATTAATGTTTGTTTAATTAATCATTATAACTTGCGTACCATGTTACCAAAGAAATCAGTTCCTTTTACATCTCCTAATAATGTAAATCATCACCAAGAAGTCAATTTAAATAGTATGTTACTTATAAATTTGTTTCAAATATTTTTTTTTATCTAATGATTCATTATATTACTATATTAATTTGCATTTTCAAATTAACAGGTTATTCATCATCATCATTGGATTATGTTGATTCAAAAGATAACTATAAACCATTTAATGAAGACAATTATTCTAATAAAAGTCCAGTCAAATTAGGAAAAAGATCGGAAAAAATTCGCCCCCGACTGAATTTTGGTACACACTTAAAATGTACCTTCCCAATTTACATACTAAAAGTCCTGACGCCTCACCCCTGTGCGTATCTCTCCACCCCCCAAAAAGGGGTGAAATCTACCCTCCCATATTTTTCTTATAACTCGTTAACCATTGAACTCACGACAAAAAAGTATAGGACCAAAATTGAAGACCGTAAAATTTACTATAAGAATATAATATTGTAATCACTACAATTTTAACGTTGTAGTTTTAAGTAAACTTTTTTTTAAAAAAAAAACTGAATTGTTTTTTAAATTTTTTTTTAGCCTAAATGTATAGTTTTAAACCAAAATGACCTATAAGAAAAATGATAGCCCTTTGTTTTTACATAATATACTTTTTTTTTTATTTTTTTTTATATTCATTACCTTAAGATTTAAGGTGGTTGTTGTTATATACGATGCGGCTGTGTTATATCTGTACGGTTGATAATACGAACCAAGTTCGAACATAATGTAAAAATTCACCGAAAGCTGAATATTGGCATACACCTACTATATACTTCATTAATGTTCATACTTAAAGTTCTGACGCTTACCCTTCGTGCTTACCCTCCTACCCCCCCCCCCCCCGCCTTCAAAAGGGTGCTTTTACAATGCTTTTACTTATAAATCACTATCCTTGGATATTGATCGAAGAGACGATGGACATAACTATTTCGCAAGAATCATTTCTATCAAATGACAAAAATAAGTTGAGGCTGATATCAATGTTAACATTAAATTATTGAAGTCAGGTATTAACGTATTACAAGCAGAAGACGATGCTGACACAAATATTGTACATACGGCAATACAAAAATCAAATTATAACACAAAAGTTGTGGTCATTGGAGAGGACGTAGATTTGATCATACTTTAATTGACGTTAACTCCAGATGATTCACAGATTATTTTTAAAAAACCAGGCAAAGGAAGTACGGAAACTAGATCATACTCTATAAAACATTTAAGGCTACAATTTAAAGTTGAACTTCCTTATTTTTTGTTTGTACATGCAATTAGTGGGTGTAATACAACGTCAGCTATCTTTCAACAAGGGAAAATTAAACATTAAAAAAAAGTTCAAGCACATCCAGAACTACACGATTCATTATTAGTTTTTAACAATGAATCAGCTACACATGAGGACATTTTGCGTGCGGGAGAAAAGTACTTGTTAAAATTATTTAAAGCACCAGCAAACACTAATACATTGAATTGTCACAGGTATGATGTATTCCGAAAAACAGGGGCTTCCAGCAAAAAAGAAGTCAAACTTTCTCGACTCCCTCCAACAGTCGATTCAGCAAAGCAGCATTTGTTTAGGGTTTATTTACAAGTATAACTTTGGCGTGGGAAAATACTTAATCCGTTAGACTGGGGCTGGGAAAAAGTAGATAAAAAAATAATACCGATCTTTACAAAGAAATCACCAGCAACAGACTCCCTTCTATCGGTTATAAGTTGTGCTTGCACTAAATCATGCGAGAAAAATTGTGGCTGTAAAAAAGCGGGAATGCGATGTTCCATAATATGTAAAAATTGTCAAGGCACATCGTGTTTAAACCAGCAACTAGTTAGTGATGATGACGACGACGACGACGTGGAGTTGTATAAAGATGGACAATGGACCACTAGCATCAGTGCCGCAACTAAGCATTTTGGGCCCTAGGGCAGCAGAAGTTTTAGTGCCCCAATTGTCCGTACATCATATTATCACCCTCCTGTAATAAAATGCTTTCAACCCTACCACAATTATACTATAACCGTGATGTATCGTAAGATGATTTCTCGAATTTGTTTACATAAGTGTTCAGTAAACAAAACAAAAAACATAAACATCACAAATTGTATTATTAGAAATATATTGAAATATCACTTACTTAGGTAGTTTAACAATAATAACCAATATACGAAGTAACTATTAAAAGTAAGTATTATTTTTAACAATTAAATTAAAATCTTAACTTTAAAACTTCATCCTCCTTGCTTTTAAATTTGAAAAGTCAGTTATAATTTTGTCTAAAGATACGATAGATTTTGTCTATAGATAATTTTGTCTTTAGTACGCTGTTGTTCAATATTTAAAACTGCAATATTTGATAGTCGGTCTTGTCCCATTGAGTTCCTTAAATAATTTTTTATTATTTTCAGTTTAGAGAATAATCTCTCGGCAGTAGCAACCGTGACTGGCAAAGTCAAAAAAATAATACAAGCGCCTAAAACTTCTGAATAGCTACAGGATAAATCATTTTCTAAAATAAATAGTGCTAAATCACGAATAGACCTCAATTTTTTTATTTATTATTATTTCTTTGAGAGACAGAATTTGATATGTTAACTCGGAACCAACTTCCGACTTGTAATTTTGAACAAAATCATAACAACTTTTGATTGTTTCAGTTTCTTCAGATTTAATAATTGATTCCGGCTTTAAAAATTTGAATGTATCACAAACATCTTGAAAACTTTCAAATCTTGATTTAAGTTGCACCAATATAGTATCAATAAGGGGAAAAAAATTTTTTATTTTTGTTGAAAGTGAAGCTTGACGGACTAATGATGTTAGCATTAATATAATAAGTAATAACACGACAATATGATTATGTATAAGTATAATATATAATAACGTACAACTGGACAATTAACCTGTGACTATACACACACACCGCGTACACTCGGTATGACAGCGTCTGTGCAAGTGAATATTACATACATCAAAGGCCCTATATATATGCACGACCGAGGTCATGTTACATCCGTAAAGAGAGTGAGTCTTATGCTCGTACATAACTAGTTACTAAATTGTACACACGTGTCAAGGCTGACTACATATACTACATATTAATTGTATATTTCAACACCCTCCCTCAATTAATAATCTCTTTAATTGTAGTCACTCCTATGGCTGACCGCAACTTCTCGAATCGTTCCTTAACCAAAGGCTTGGTTAGAATGTCCGCAATCTGGTCCTCTGTTCCAATGTACTGTAGTTGGAATTGTCCCTCTTCGTATTTCTCCCGTATGAAGTGGTACCGTACGTCTATATGTTTTGTCCTCTTATGAAACTCCGGATTCTTAACTAAACGTATAGCACTCTGATTATCTATAAATAAAACTGGTTGTTTGTCACCTGTTGTTGATAAGCTTGTTATCAACCGTGTAATCCACAAGATCCCTTTGACAGCTTCACTGGCCGAAATATATTCAGCCTCTGTCGATGATAACGACACACAATGTTGTCTCTGCGATGTCCATGAAATTATGCTTGACCCGTACCTGAATAGAAATCCTGACGTTGAACGTCGTGTCTGAATGTCACCTGCGTAATCTGCATCGCTAAATATTTCTAATGACAATTTAATTTTGTTATTAAAGTACAAGCCATAATTAAATGTTCGCTTGATATATCGTATAATCCGTTTTACCAAGTTCCAATGAGCTTTAGTTGGTTTTGCTAAGTAACGACTAGCAAAGTTTACTGCATATGCTATATCTGGTCTTGTTACCTGTGATAAGAACAGTAAGCTACCTACTGCCTGCCTATAAGGAATATCTTCATTCAATATTTCCGTATCTTCCTTTTGTTCAAGTGTATGTGATTTATCTATCGGTATTGAAAGTTCCTTGGCGTCCAGCATATTAAATTTATTAATTATGCTACATGCATAATTTGTCTGATGCACAAATAATGAACCATTTTTCATTATATTTACCTGCATACCTAGGAAATAATCTAAGTTTCCTTTTTTAACCTCAAACTCTTTCTCCAAGTTCGTTAAAAGTTTCTCTATTATCTCTTCATTATCTGCCGCGATTAAACCATCGTCAACAAATATTGCAAGAATAATTTGGCTGTTATCAGCTTTGAATACACATGCATCCGCTTCGGTACATTGTAAACCAAATGCATTCAAAAAGTTCTTAAAGCGTATATTCCAACATCTTGGACTTTGTTTTAAGCCATATAAACTACGCTGAAGCTTACATACTTTATTCGATCCATCTTCGTATCCTGGTGGTTGTACCATGTAAATTTCTTCCTGTAGTTCTCCGTACAGAAATGCTGTCTTGATGTCGAATTGTCGTAGTATTAATTTTTCCACAGCTGCTACTGCGAATATTGCCCTAATTGATTCGTATCTGACCACTGGCGAAAATGTTTCATGGTAATCTATACCATATTTCTGTGAACAACCTTTAATGACCAATCTGGCCTTAAACTTATCGATATTACCGTCACTTTTATATTTGGTTTTGAACACCCATGCATTACGTAACGCAACCTTGCCCTGGGGCAAATTAACTAGTGACCAAGTGTTGTTTCTGTGTAGTGATTTAATTTCATCACTCATAGCGTGCTCCCACTCGTTTTTCTGTGGGCCAGCTATCGCTTCATCACGATTTAGTGGTTCAACGAGATTGGCGACGAACGACGACACATTATACCTGATCGGCGCTTTTAATGTATTCCGATCACGTAGCACCATGCCACTCCTGTTGTCGACCGTCGTCAATTCGACCTTGACCGGATCGTCCTCGACTTGAGTCTGAGTATCTATGAATTCTAATTTGTCTGCAATTATATTTTCCAATTTATTACCTTCGTTTTCGAATATAATATCTCTAGACATTGAAATTCTATTTGTTTTCGAATAATACACACGATAACCTTTCGTGTTATCCGAATAGCCAACAAATATTCCTTTTTCACTTTTAGGGTCCCACTTTTTACGTTTTTGCTTTGGTATGTGTGTATATACGACAGTACCAAAAACTCGTAAGTGTTTGATGTCTGGCATTACCTTGTAATATAACTCGTATGGTGAGTTATTTTTAACTGAACTGGTTCCCGTTCGATTAAGCGTGTAAACCGCCGTGTTTACCGCCTCCGCCCAAAGTGATACATCCAAATTTTTCGCACAAATCATTGTCCTCGCTGACTCTACTATTGTACGATTTTCCCGTTCCACTTTTCCATTTTGCTGTGGTGTGTAGGGAACTGTTAACTGATGTCGAATCCCGTGTTTTTGTAAAATACCCGTAATTTCTTTATTTACGAATTCTAATCCATTATCCGTTCGTAATATTTTGACCTTAGAACCTGTTTCTGTTTCAACACTTTTTATGAACGTCTCAAAAATATTTTTAACATCATATTTATTTTTAATAAAATATACCGTTCTATAATGCGAGTAGTCGTCTTTGAATAACAAAAAGTATTTTGAACCGCCTATAGAGCTTACCTCCATTGGTCCAAATAGGTCTGCATGGATTAAATCACCGACATTGTGATACTCCGTATTACTTTCACTAAATGATTTACGACTTTGTTTACCTATTATACAACTGCTGCACATGAATTCGTCGTCCTTGGCCGAACATACTATTTCGTGTTTCGCCAAACAACTTTTTACGTACTGTAAATTCTGATGTGCCATGCGCTCGTGCCAAACAGACAACCTGTTTTCGACAGCTACCGTCGCGTACCCGTTTGTCGGTACTTCGACCTTGATGTTTAACTCAAACAACCTTCCGCATCTCTTACCTGAGCATACGGGTTTCCCCTGTTTAGTTAACATACACGTCTTACTATCTGACGTCAATACTAAACCTTTATCCATCGCGGCTCCGCACGAAAATAAATTAAATTTTAGTCCTGGCACGTGCAACACGTTTGCCATGTAATTTTTATTCCAATTACCGTTTACGTATGATAATATATTAATATTACCTCTACCTGCTGCATACAGATTCGTCCCATCACCTATCGTGATTTGTTGCGTGTTGTCCAGTGGTTCATAACTTGAAAACCACTCTCGATTTGCGCTCATATGATCCGACGCGCCCGAGTCTAGTACCCACGCATCTGTTGCAATATTATTTATACTTGACTCGCTTACGAATGCGTTCAAGTTCGCACCTATCGTACCAGTTTTACCACCGTGTACACTTTGTAGAAAATTTCTACAGTCTCTTTTATAATGACCTAGTTTACCACAGTAATAACACTTAATATTACTTTTATTCGAAAATTGATTTTTACCTTTTCTATAATTACGACTGCCGTTTCTTCCATCAGATCTGTTTTGAAATTTGGCCGGAAATGCACTCGATTTCTCTTGTTCACCAACTTCACCTTTGATCTGGATAACCCGTGATTCTTCAATCAACAATCGACTAGTCAAATTATTTATATTTTTACTTCCCGTCGGGACTGAATCCCAAGCACTGTAAAAATGATTATATTCTTTTGGTAGTGTCATTAGTATTTTTGTCATAACCATGTTATCCGTAACTGGTTCACCCGCTACTTTCAGTTTCCTTCCTAAATTGACCAATTTAGAAATATGCGTCGACATGTCATCTGTCGACTCCTTTGAATAACTGAAAAATTGTTGTTGAAGCAAATGTAAACTTGCCTCAGACTTCTGCTCGTAAATACTCAGCAGTTTCTCCCACATTTCCAATGCAGTCTCACAGTTAATCAAATATTGTAATGGACCATCGTCCACTGAGGTAACTATTATTTTCTGACATTTACCGTCCGCTTTTTGCCAAGCGTTTGTATGCCTTTGCCAACGTGCTTTGGCATCCTCGTCGGTCTCTCCTGCCGACTTTTTTATAGGTAGACCTGGTTTCGTCCATTCGCCTGAAACTATCTCACCTACTTCCAAGGCATTTAAAATGACCTTCATCTGGAACTTCCATAACGACCAGTTTTCCGCACATAATTTTGTTATCTTCACCGTGTCTTCCATGACCGATGGATTCCCGTATACTTTCCTGTATAACAATTTATAACAAAACTTTACCTATGTACACTGTTCCGCCGTTTTCCGAAATCCAGGATATCTCCGACTGGTTGTAGTTTTCTGCGTTAATACAAATATAAAAATACTTCGATCACGAATCCACTAGACTGTTTGTCTTGGTTATTGACTGGGCCCATAACCTGTTGAAAGTGAAGCTTGACGGACTAATGATGTTAGCATTAATATAATAAGTAATAACACGACAATATGATTATGTATAAGTATAATATATAATAACGTACAACTGGACAATTAACCTGTGACTATACACACACACCGCGTACACTCGGTATGACAGCGTCTGTGCAAGTGAATATTACATACATCAAAGGCCCTATATATATGCACGACCGAGGTCATGTTACATCCGTAAAGAGAGTGAGTCTTATGCTCGTACATAACTAGTTACTAAATTGTACACACGTGTCAAGGCTGACTACATATACTACATATTAATTGTATATTTCAACAATTTTAAAATTATTTTCTGTGATATTTAACGGTCGGTCGCCATCCACTTCATCAAAAATTTTTTTCGCAAGTCGTTGTCTAGTTTGTGAACTATTTAATGGTATGTCCCATTTTATACATAAGTCTTTTGCATAAGTCTTTTGCACGACTACCCTCATTTACAGCATTGGATTCCGCAGTCTGAGGGGCTCTATATTTATCCACTACAATTACCACACCCATGTAAATCGAACGGACTTAGGCCTCGAGTGAAGTAGAGTACGTATGCGATTCATCTAGATCCAGTAGAGCTTCTAGTACAGCCGCGTTCTGACTAACAAAGGTGTCCCACAGCGAGTCAAGATCCTCAGCAGCTGCTAAAAACTGCGGAATTAAATCCGGGGATTTATCGACCTTTTTTGCCAGCTCGGCGATTGAGTTAATTCGAGTAACAGTGCTTTCCCGAGCTACCAAAGCTATAGTTTTAGTTCGTTGTAACACTCTATTGTCACGCGCACTCTCTTGGCCACCCGGATCAACCATAATTACAAAGTATAGGTATAACAATCTTAAACTGGCAAACCACAACAAAAGGGTAGGTACAAGTTAGTAAAATTAATATACGAATAATTTCCCAACGCCGATTAATTATATCACACACCCATTTATTACATTGGGATCATAGACTAATTTTTTTAAACTAATTCAACGCACAGATTGGGACTACCTATACCTAATCGACGGTCGCTGAAGAGGGTGAACCCACGCAGTGACACTCCTAAGCAAAACGTTCACAATGAGCATAAACTTTAATATACATGAATATTGATTACAGTTAAATTATAAATTTTTTTTTATTACACACAGAAAATACTAGTTCGAGTTTATCCCGATGACAACACAATCTAACCACGCTCTGCTACCAGTTGTTTCGCCGTTACCGATCCTACGGGTGTAGCGGTTAGCGGCAACGACTATCGGGGATGTAAATGGTAAAATAGATTAACTGTGTACCCAAGGCAATTTATAAAATTAATAACATCAATGCGTATTTTCAGAGACGGGCACACTGTACCACAAAACAAATATAATGGTAAAAATTCATATTAACTTACAGGTGCAAGGGGTATGATCATACCTAACAAAGATTGGTATCAACACAGACAACACGTAAAAGGACCTATTGCCTAAACAGCGCGCAGACCGCTGCTATAGGTCACATCAGAGACGGCGGTATGTCAATAGCGAACCGGTTTTGGAACCGGAACCCTTTCAATATTGGGAACCGAAACCTCACCGAAACCCTAATTCAAATTAATTTTAAAACCGGAACCTCACCGGAACACTTATTTAAATTTATTTAAAAACCGGAACCTTACCGGAAACCTTATTTATATTTATTTAAAAACCGCAACTTAACCGCAACCCATACTTTTTTTTAAAGGTTTTTACATTTAATTTCGGTTTTGTTATATCATTAATTTTATTTAATATATCTGTCAATTGTCATTGGTACGTGGTAGATAATAATATAATATGAACTAAACAAATTCGTAAATCTATTATTATTATTAAGAGGTTAATTATACAAAAACAATCCTTCAATATTTGTATTTTGTACGTAACAACTGATAATGTAATAGAAATGAGAAATTCCCAATATAAATAAGTCATTATTTACTGCATATTATTATATGTAGGTACCTATAGGGGTTCCAGTTACCACAATACCAAGCAATTCTCAATATAGGTATATGGTTAATATTTATAAATAACTAGGCATTTTAAGATTAAGTATATCATTACTATTACTATTGTTAGATCAATTAATAGTTCGTACAAATAGATTGTTTGAAAAAAAAAAATTTAACTAAAGAGTAAGATTTGCTATATAATTTACATTTTTATAAGTTTTGTTTTATTTTAAAATTTAAAATATTATTTGTTACATATTATAAGTTTATTACTTAATTTTATGTATAAGTACATAACATTTTAATTTGAAAGGGTTTTTTTTTTTATTTTAAATAAGATTTTATTATAATCCATTATGATGTTTAAGACGTTTAAGTTATCCTTATCATCAAATATTCAAAAGTATATAATTTATTTGTCATAAGTACCAATATTATAACTAATGTATGAATAATATCTTTACATTTCAAACGTTTTATTTTATCTTTAACGTAATTATGTGTATTATATTAATTTTGTGTATGACTAAAATGATTTTTAATTGTCACTATCATTAAGTATTCTAAAATGTTTTGATTTTAACTTTTTACAGATCATTTTAAGGTAAAGCACATACTTATAATTAATATATAATATCTATGAGGTGAATAAAATAAAGTAATCAGATTAAAATCCTGTGAAAATGGAATAGACTTTCCAATCTACTATCTTCTTAAACCCCTGACCGCAAGTCTCTAGCCTAAGAAAATATAATATCTGGTAACTGGTGATAAAAAAAAATAAATTATTTTTAAAATCTTAAATACTGAATAATAATGCAACAAGTAGTAATTGGTAAATGCTACATAGTAATCTATACTCTATTTTTCGAGAGTTGACCCACTCGCCCGACGAAAACCGGTCGCGGCCGCGCATGCCACCGCTCGTTTGAGCGCTGGTGTCGATTGTACACGGCGGCAGCTGCCTACTACGACAAGCGCCGTCGGTCGCCGAACACCGCCGACCAATCACAGACCGCCGGTCTGCTGCCGGGGGGGTCTGAACGTTCCGGCGGCTCAGTATGCATGCGCGGAAGTGGGTCAACTCTCGAAAAATAGAGTATAGTAAAATACAAAAAGTGTTATTTGAAACGGGATAGTACATGAAGTTATTTAGTCCTTTCCTTTGTCCTAAGCAATTGGTAGAATTTCTACCAATTAGTAATGACGCCAACGAAACTTATCAAAAATTTCTTACATGAGTGTTAACTTTCAAGTATAAAACCTAAACAGGAATTTCATTTCAGTTTTCATTTTTTAAAAACCGAAAAGAAACCGAAACCTACATTTTTGTCAAATTAAAAACCGAAACCGAAATTTCGATTTTTTTCAAAACCGAAAAGAAACCGAAACCGAAATTCTAGTTTTTTTTAAAAATCGAAAAGAAACCGTAACCGAAATTTTAGTTTTCTTAAAAACCGAAAAGAAACCGAAACCGAAATTTTAGTTTTTGTAAAAACCGAACCGGAACCGGAACCGTCAAAATCATCAAGGTTCCAGTCCCTGGTAGGTACACACCTCGAACGCGCGACTTATTTGTCCGGCGAAAAAACACAAAAAAACACAGACGACGCAGGTAGACGTCGTGTCGACCGGTCCAGCACAGAGATGTGCATACAACTAATTAACTGGCGGTGGCGGCGAGTCGGCGGTGGCGCGAGTATCAGCGGCGGCGGAGTCCAACGATCGTCGCGACGTTATCTACCGATAATATTTTAGCGAAGGCAGTGTTGCTTGCGTAAACACTAATCTTTTTGATTTTGATTTCTAATCAGTGTATTGAGATGGTTTACAAAATCGTTTCTATCTATGTTTGTTTTATAATGTCCCCAAGCTAATGTATCAATACCATTTTCCAAAATAAATCTTTTATCATCATAAACACTTAAAGCTTTTTTGTTTGTTCTACAGTAAAAATATCATGTTTCTTAGTTCTAAATAAATTTTGTTTAACATATTTTGATTCTTTTGTTAGTAAACATTTTTCAAAATCATTAAAACATATTTTATTTTCTACAACATTTTTTTTAACACCTTTAGCTTTTTTAATTTCTTTTTCAGTATCTAAGATTCGATGAGAATATAATTTAGATCTTAAACCTATAAATTCAGACATTATTTTTCCATTTAACTCATCTTTAAACTTGCCTAAAACTTTTTTGTTAACTAAAGGTAATCCATAAATATTATCTTTTGGATAATCTGAAGTGTCAAAATGATCTAACATAATTTTCATATCTTGATAAAAACCTTTAGTTTTTATTTCTAATATTAGTGAATCTGTATCTGTATATAACAATCTAACTCTATTTACATATTTTTTCTTTATAATATTATAATAAAAATCATACATTAACATTTTAGCTAAATCTAAAATACACATTCCTACATATATTGGTTGTTTGAAAGATATTTGTGTTCTTTTCATATGTACGGCAGCTAAATTTTCTGTAAAAATTGTCCTTCGATCAAAATTTGGTTTTGTAATTAATTTTTCTAGTTGGGCTGCATTAGAACATAATTTTATATCAACATGATTTCGAACATTCATCATAGTACGTCCATAAACACTATTATTCATTAATTTGAAAAATTCTTTTTCAAACTCATTCTTAGCTTCTGATCTAAGATTAGTATTAAAATCAATATAAACTTTTAACCAAGGGGATTGACTAAATTCTAATACTCTATGAATTTTCTCTATCTTTAAACCTAAATTAATATATAATTTTAGTGTTTCATAATGTATTATATATTTTTTCTTATCATACAAAGTTGTTAATAATTTTGGAAGTTGTTTGTTATCAAAATGTCTTTCTGGTGCTAAAGGGAAATCTGAATGTAGATCATGAAGTTCTTTAAGGTAAGATAGGTAAATCAACTTCTAAAATATAACCTTTACGTGATTTATCAGAAATATTCAATACATCAAAATCATTCAGATTATCAACCCATTTGAAATCTCCATAAAGATTATTTGCATCCAAGTATTCTAAAAATATTGATTCCTCATTTTTTTTTTAATTTATATTCCATAATTTCTTCATTAGTACCTCTCTTATATTATTTAATCAAACATCCATTTATTAATGGTAACTAGAGCCACTATGACCTTAACATGTACATTAAAACATAATTTTTTTTCCATATTTACTTTTGAGTTAGATTGTTTCTTAAAATGTTTATTAATACATACATACATACTTGTATACATGTATATGGGTTGCAATGACTATTGAAAATTTAAATTTAAAAACAAGCAATATGATCCCTTCATTAATTACATTTTGCATAATACAAGACAAAATTATTAGTATAAGTAATTCTCAACTCTAATGTTATAGCATAATTACATACATCATTTTTTGGGGGACCTAATGTGGGATCTAAGGCAACTGCCCTCAATGCCCACTATTTTTAAGAGTATTTTTTTATTATATAAAAAATTACTATACACATTTATGACTAGAATCGTATGATATAGTACAAATATATTCAGGATTGATATAGAAAAATGTCTACCTCCTTTCTAGCCCTTAATATTTTGAAACTCTTTTCTATAGGTACATACTTTGAGCTTCATTTTCCCAGGTCAATTCTCGTTCCAAATAAGAGTCTGCAGCATGAGAGCATTGAATGAGGAACTCTTTTACCGTTATTGCACCAGTCGTTAAAAGCGCCGTAGAATTTCTTCTTCTCACTGAATTAAAATATATTTAAATTTAGTGGACCTTGTTGTTGGCACACCACTAGCCAGTTGTCCTACAATAGTGTGCTGCTTGGTAATTATGTTATTCAGATGTTCTATATGACCAAAACATTTTTATTAGTGATTTAACATAAAAACAAACACATAGTACCTAATACCTAATAAAAACGAATTAATGATGATAAAATTGAATGTAAAATACTACAATTAGGTACCAAGTTTTGACATTTAATTCGATAAGTATTATTACTAACCTAGAAATATCCACATTTTCGGATGCAGTACCTGAAAAGTTTGCTTTTGACGTTCGACGTTGTTATTTGTACGGCGTGGTTGGCAATGTACAGTAAAACATTCGGGTCCCTTCCTCATAATCCAAAAGCTATTTAAATTTATAGATAATACTAAGGTTAATATCGTTTGTTCTTCATTTTATCATTTTTCAAAAATGTATTTATTGTATTTTACCTAGAAAAATATGTAAAAAACCTTGGAAGCTGAACATAATTAGCTTGAGCATACATTTTTGTCTTCAAAACCCGTTTCTATTTGATGTGCTGGTAATAGTGCTAAAGCCGCTGTCATTTTCACATACATTTTTGCTGCCATGTTCACTTTTACATAACGTGTGTAACCCAACTTTTTAATATTTTTCTGTAGACTCTACAAATATTTATAAACATTCAATTTTTCAACTAACTTTTGTAATCTAAGCAACTAATTTATATAATTTGTGGTGTTAAAAAATGTGTGTGTGTACCTAACTGCAATAAATTTCAAACCTGTATATAATGGAACCAACAAGAAAAAATATTTGCTTCGGGATAAACTGCAGTAAAAGCATTCCGGAGGCCTGTCTCAAAATCGATCATGATTGTAGTTGGTCTTACAGAAGGGAATTTCACCTTAAATCGCTCCAACACCTTCTTGTATGAAGCCTCGGTCTTAGCTTCCGTCAATACAAAGCAAACAGGGATGGACTAGGTTGAAAAATGTAAGTAATTATTTATTCAAATTTGTTGAAAATATATATTTACTCATGTGATTTTGTAAAATCAGATGTATGATGAAAAGTTGCCTACAATGCGGATTAGATGGCACAACTTTGAAGGTTCCCTCGGCGTGCAACTCTGTACTACCCTCATGAACTACAGAGCTTATGAGGTCATGGCAAGCAAACATGACATTGAATTTACCATCACTATCCACAATCCATTCCTGGTACAATGGCTGATTGCTACACTGATATCCGTTAGCCATATTCATTATATTCACCAAACAAAAACAGTATGTTACGAATTGAATTATATGCACCTAATTGAATAAATCTTTAATATTACTTGTCAATATTTAGATCCAAATATTCTCCTAGCTCAAGTAAACTAGATGGCAGAGGTGGAACATGATGTCTACGAGCTTGACGCATTGGTGATTCTGCAGTGGGCCATGCATAAAGTACAGCTGCATTTGGATTCCTATAGTAGTATTTCAATAGTAAACTGTATTTTATATTAAATAAGGTTCAGTCTATTTTATCAACCCAGAAACAATTTATGCATATCCCATTGTATGCATTTCGAATTTAGCTCACAACTATACCAATATCGATAACATACTTGGCCTGCCTACTCTTGCTGAACTGAACGAAGGAACATTTTAAATACAAAATTTATTCGTGGTCTAATTACTAACCATATTGATTCCCCTTGCTTGCTTTCCCAAGTCAACTACCGCCAACACAAATTATCTTCAAAATGAGCCTTTAAGCTCTTTCCACTTTAGCTTCTTTTGATGATAATTTGTTCTAATGTTTCTTAAACACTGTTAATATAACTCTGAAGTTTAATATAAGCGTTTTTATTGTTTACTTAATTACTGTTTAAATTGTATTCTCTGTTATTTACATATAATTTTTTATATTTCTCAATTTTCTACTATTATTCTATTAAATGTTACTGTTTTTTTAATGTTATAGGGGAAACCCGTATATCTTATAATAAATAAATAAATAAATTTGATTACTGATCGGCACATGCTCCGTGGTAGGGCGGTGTATCGGCAGCGGCGACTGGAACAGCTGCTGCGACGATGCGATGACACGCAGGTGAACTGGGAGCGGCGGCTCCGGACGACGGCGAACGACCGGATTACGTAATGCGCAAAGTACGTAATCACGGCACTGAAGCGGCGTCCAGGCTGTGGTAACTTGATAGCGCAATTTTAGGTATTCTAGTTTATTACATCAAACTCGGGGAGCGCTAGGGTCGCGGTTGTCTCAGTCACGTCCGCCGTGCATTCTTTTTCGCTCGTTTTCGCTGTTCGTGCCAATATTTAAACGCGGAATAATTTTTGTATTATTTTGAATTTTCATTTTTCCTACAATGTAGATAATCTTGTGAACTTAGTACAGTGTTTAATTTATTTTTTTTAATTTACCTATGTAGATACGTCATACGTAATATTGTAAATTTGTAAAGATGTCTAAGCATGCCTACAAATGCGTAATAGGCTGTGGTGTTAAAAGTAAGTCGTATTTTAGTTATATTATATTATGCTTTATACAGAACATTCATTTTTGCGTTTTAAAAATGTACCTATTGCCACTGTATGCTACAATTTATATTAGTAAGTATCATGAATTCATAATGTTCATGTTCATTGTCAAGTACAAATTATTATTAATATCCTAGAATTTCCAATATATATCTAAACTTTACCTGCCTAGGTAGGTACTTTTAAATGATTTTTATTAATTTTGGATATTAAAGTCGAGATAAACACATACAGGGCAATAATTTAAAATACCTATTATCTGTAATATAACTGTAATATATGTATATATATATTTTATTAACGGAAGTGGCTATTTCTAATAGCCACTTCCTTTATTAACAGTGAATACCTACCAATAATTATTTTAGGTGTACATTCACACCGATTTCCAAATCCCAAGAAATATTATGACTATTTCGAAAAATGGGTGAATATCATAGGTGGAGATTTACATAGTCTAGACCCCATGACTGTTTATAATAAAAAACGGATTTGTTCAATTCATTTCACCGATAATGATACGTGTCCAAGCAGCAATAAATTGAAGAACAATGCTTTGCCAACTTTACATTTACCTAGTGAGTTAACATACTTATTTATTTATAATAATACTATAAATTACATGATTGTTATATAAATTTAAATGATTATTTTATAATGACAATATTTTTTTTTATTTTTTCAAAAAATTGACAGAATAATCAAACATATTATATTGTTTAGGTGTATATATTAGATACAGATCAGAATTTATTGATCATATGATATGAATTTTTTTTCCAGTGACAGAAGATTTGGGTGATTGTTCATCAGCTGCCACCGATCCAGTTGACTTAGATTTGTCTGGCATACAACACCTGGTTTAAAATGATTCTGCGGGTTTGATGTGTATGTATCTATGATAAATTATTTAATTTTTAATTTGAATACCTATTTGATTATTTCAGTTAACCTATTTTTTTAATGTAGGTTTAAAAGTTAAAATTAAAACACTTTTATCCGGTTATAGGTACATTTATCTAACAGAATTGTCTATTTTGTTACAGATAACCATGATGCTTGTTCATCAACTGCCACCGATCCAGTTGACTTAGATTTGTCTGGCATAAAACCCCTGGTCAAGGCCGCCCGCAGAAATTTTTCTCGGGGGGTGGGGGGGGGGCCGCGAAACAATAATACACTTACCATAAATTCTGTTTTTTGTATCATATCGTAAAAAAAAATTATTATAATATAGTAAGTATATACATATATATATTATATATATATATATATATAAATGTATAAAATATCTATGAAGAAGCACTATAAAAGCAGATTAATAAATTATACATACCTAAATGACCTTTCAACACTACAAGTAGTTGATGGAAGGGTTATTGCTATTAAAATACAATGTTTTATTGATGGGAAAAATGTTGTTTCATCTAAAAGTTCAAGAAAATCTGTATTATCTTTAATTTCTTTTTCACTCCAATTGCTGTACCAAATAAGACCTTCTTCTAATATATTATCTACCAAATCTCCATAAAATGACTTAATATTTTTCAATTTAGTGATAAGTTCTTCTTTTTTTATACTTTTCATATATTTTGGATGGATTGAGAAAACTTCAAGTTTTTCAAAATCTTCAGAAAATCTGTTATTTAATGAAGTAATTAATGAATCCAAGTATAGAATGAAAATTGATTTTCTGTAGTAATCTACCGGATCAGATGAAGGGGTATTATTTCTCAGTGTTTGTTTTGACGCTATTCTTGGTGTTTTTAATTCAATGCCAAGTTCAATTAAGTATTTATTTACATCATCCATTAAGCTCAGAAAAATTTCATCACTCATAAATCTATCATTAGTAATATGTTTTATGAATTTTTTAATATGTTCATTAGCATTTAGTACATCACAATCAACTCCCTGTAAAATGTTTGTAACAGGTTCTATGATTGCCTTATCATATGGGGACCCTACTACCCGATGCCCTATAAAATGCAAATAAATACAATACAAATTAGGTATTATCTAAATTAGCGGGGGGGCATGGCCCTCCCCGGCCCCCCCTGTGGGTGGCCTTGCCCCTGGTTGAAAATGATTCTGCGGGTTTAATGTGTATGTATCTATGCTTAAATATTTAAATTTTATGCTATTACAATTGATTGCACCCATCTATTTGCTTCTTGCTTACATTAAGCAAATTGCATGTTTAAATGCTTATTCCATGCTCTCATTTGCTTTGAAATAGCTATTTAGAAACTGCTATTTATCTAGGCGCTGTGAATAATGTTAGTGGTGTAAAAAATACAAAATCGTCAATGAGAAAAAACTTCATGCTGATAATGGTTATTTTTATATATTATTTTATTATCTAGATCATATTGTAGGTATTTCAATAATTACTTAGAGCAGTGTTTCCTAATCGGTTGGTAATTTTGATACTGTAAAATGGAAAATATGGAATATAGTGAGATAAAATAACAAAAGAAACAAAGAAATATTGTTGTGTAATTAATGTATTGTTTTATTTATTTGCTATAGGGTGGGAGGGGGGGATGCAGAATTCAAAAGGTAAACCACTGCTTTAGATAATATGAGAATTTAGTTGTGTTAAACAATTTATTTTGGATATGGCCACATTAGTATTGATATCACGTCCTTTGGATATTGAAAATTTTTTTATATTTTATTATAGGGTTATTAAGAAGTATTAATGTTCACCGTGCAGCTGATTTGACTCCAAAATGTAGACAACTGTACAAAAAGGCTGTGCTTCTACAAAAGAGACTTCAAAACACTGATTTAAGCCGAAAACTTTTTAAAGATCGTCTAGATATGGCTCAAAAAGCAGCCGATAGTTTGCTGATTGACAAACTAAGTAAGAAAATGACTGTTTCAGCTTCACTTTTTACAAGAATTCAATTACGTGAAACTCATAAAAAATCCAATGGAAGACGGTTCTCTCGGGATGAAAAAGTGCTGAGTCTCTCTTTGTACAAACGAAGTCCGCAATGCTATCGTTTACTATCAAAATTATTTACACTTCCCTGCCGAAGAACACTTACATCTTTATTGGCTTAAGTACCAATAAATACTGGAATTAGTACTGTTGTAATGAAAGTATTGAAAAATAATGTTGCCAAATTACCTCCGGCTCAAAAATATTGTTCGTTATTATTCGATGAAATGAGTATTAGTGCCGAATTACATTATAACGAAACGTTGGATAAGATCGAGGGGTTTGAAGATTATGGTTATGAAAGGACACAAAAATTTGCCGACCATGCATTAGTATTTATGATTCGGGGCATTACCAAAAAGTTTAAACAGCCAATTGCCTATTTCTTTTGTCAAGGATCAACAAGTAGTCATCGGCTTGTTAAATTGATCAAAGATATAGTTCCGAACTTGCATTCAACAGGGTTGCACATAGTAGCTACCATTAGTGATCAAGGGGCTACAAATGAAGCTGCCATAAAAATTGTACATGCTGACACAAAGGCCTATTATTTAAAAAAAAAATGTTGAGTATCGAAATGATGTATACGAAATCCAACATAACCAAGAAAGGCTGAAAATAGTACATTTATTTGATCCTCCTCACTTACTGAAAGGTACTTAATATTTATAATTTATTTATATTTTGTATTTATTAGAGTTATGATGTTTCATAGGAATACGGAATAATTTAATAACAAAAAACTTAATTTTCACCATGGATG